ATGTAGAAATGACTGCCTGAAACTGTGGATGGAGGACAACGACTTCATGGATTGGAGCACTTCAGTTTAGCCTGTTAGCTTTCATGCTAGCGCTGAGCTAATGCATAAATGGCATTAGTTTCCTAGCTAACAATAGTGACTCAGGCACAAATGCCATATATGTATTAGCGCTGGCATGAAAGCTAAACTGAGGTGCTCCAATCCATGAAGCAGATCTGTTGTCCTTCACCCACCATGTCCTTCTGCTCTGGTTTCATTAAAGGACTGATCATCAGATACGGTCCAAGATAAACCTTCAGGGTGGACACAGCTCACTCGCAGAGGAAAACCTAGTCATCGTTTACCCAGTATGCTTTGCAGTGTTAATAAAATGGCTCTATTCTTTTGACCAATATATTTATAAAAACTCTACAGTATTTATTTTAATAATTTCCGTTACAAGTAATCATGGAGCCCTTGTGTCAGTCACATAAGTTGACTTTAGTGTTGCAGGGCCTTTTATGCAGTTAAGGTTTATATACATGACAAAGAAAAACCCCATGTGTTCCATTTTTATTGTAGGCTGTACAACAAGACCGTAGGAGCATTCTGGTGAAATAGAAGGCATTAAGATAGTATGCAACAATCATTTGCATGTTGAAAGATCTGAAAAGAATGACAAGTTAAACTGTATGATTTGCAGATGTCAAAGGCAAAACAGGAAACCATTGCACAGAAAGGACTTTGGTAAGAATATGAAGCAGGTTAGGCTTGTTGACAATACACCAGTAAAAGTTTGGACATACTTTCTCATTCAATGCATTTCCTACAGGGGTCATCCAAACCGAAGGAACATTTACGGAGCCATGAAGTGAATTTGAAGGTGTTGAACAAACAAAGAATAGGAGCAAGAGCTGCCACCATAGTCTGGATGACAATAGTGTTGATTTGCAATGTAACACCACAAACCATTAATAATTCAGGTTCATTAAGTTTTCCATTGAGGGGCTGTGCAAGCTCTTATCCACCCTAAAGGTTAATCTTGGACAATCAGCCTTTTTAAATGAAACCAGAAAGTTGCTTTATGGATCGGAGAACCTCAGTTTAGCTTGTTAGCTTCAATGCATGAAGCAGCTCTGTTGTCCTCCAGTTTCAGGAAGAGTCATTTCTCCTCTTTGGTTTCATTTAAAAGAGCTAATCATCAGATCTTGTCCAAGATTAACCTTCAAGGTGGGTTTTACAGTTTCAGTGAACATTACACTGTTCTTCAAACCTTTTTCCTTCACCCCAGATTTGACCCTGAGTACTTGAAGTTCCTCTTCCCACAGGTCAAAAATTTCATCTGCAAACTTCCACAGTGATTTCTGACTGACCACCACCTGACCAAACAAAAAGAGGCTCAGAGATGATCCTTTCTAATATATTTCCTTGGTATGAAACCACACTGCTGCTCCACAACTCTCCCAGATCTTTATCAAGTAGCTCAATTTCCCTGTAGTTGCTG